CTTGCTGCTGCTGCTGCTGCTAGTGCTGCTGGTGCTAGTGCTGCTACTCTGTCTACGTATACTGCCTCTGGTGCTAGTACTGGTACTAGTATCACAGTACTAGTGCTACTGGTACTTCTGGTACTAGTGCAAGTACCAGTGCTGCTGCTACTGCGTAGTCGTAACCAGTACTGGTACGAATATCTAGTACAAGTGCTGGTCGGAGCACGAGTATTACGACTGCGACTAATAATCGTACCCTACCCCTGAAACCTTCCACCAGATTACTGCCTTCCATTGGCCAATCGACCTTGATCAACTCCAACCTGAAACCCTGAACCTTAAACTCTAAACCCTAATCCCCAAATCCTCAACCCCAAACCCTAAACCCCAAATCCTGAACCCTAAACCCGTAGCACTAAGCCAGACGCGTCGCGTACGATAATTTTGAATTCTCAGATCATCGACTTTGGCCTGGCTTGCCAGTTTGAGCCCGGCGTGAAGATGAGCACCAAGGCGGGGCTGAGTGTTTTGATCGTTGAAGGGTTTAGGGTTTAGGGTTTGGGATCTTAGGATGTAGAGGGGGATGCAGGATTTTGTGGCTGGGGGTTTTTGGTGTTCCGGGTTGGCGATTCTGAGACTGGCACTTCCCAGCGGATGCAGGCCGGCACAGCCTACTACGTCGCCCCGGAGGCAGGGTCACAAGCAAGTAGGTTGTTTTCCCGAATTTATGTAACGAAGTGGGTTATTTATTGTAAGAAATCCTGTTGCCATTCGCCTCCTGGTTGTGTTCAGAGCGCCCTTTGTTGCGGCTTCTCCTTCCTGTGTTGCTTGTGGTTTACACAGTACAAGTTCCGAGGGAACCAGTACAGACTTGCTTAGCTGGGAAGCTGGGAGAGGTCCTCAAAGGAGGCTACGACGAAAAGTGCGCCCGCCTCAGACTGGCTGCTGTTCGAGTGATTCTAGTGGAAGACACAACCAACATGTAAGCTGGAGACCTTGGACTCCTAAGCTTTTTTGGGGGCTGCTACGCTTCGAAGCACACCGACTGCAGCAAATCTGCGCGACGGTGTCCAGTCCGTGTAGAATCGTGAGGCATACGGCGACTAAAGCTGCAAGGTTGTCGTGCTACAGCAAGTGCAACGTTCCCATGGGCCACAAAGTTCAAGCTATGCTGCTGCTGCTACTGCTGCCGTCGCACGGTTCTGTGTGCAGTTTTGCACACAGCCCGGCGATAATCTCAAGCACGACCGCTGCAGCAGCTGACTGCTGTTGCTGCTGTCGTGACTTCGCTCAGTGCTTTGCGCAGTTTTTGCAAAAGCTCGGCGAAATTATCATGCTCGAATGCTGCAGCATCTGATACTAGTGCTGCTGTCGTGAAGTTGCCCGATGCCACTGGCAGTGTTGCACGCAACAACCCTGCCAAGAGAGCCTTTGTTCCATGGTGTGTGGCTCAGTCTTCCTGGCGATATCTGTTTCAGACGGAGCAAATCACAGCAAGCTTGGAGATTTGTCGGTTGTGCATGTGACTTGACATTTCGTCATGAATCGATCCAGGCGATGTGTGGAGTGCCGGGGCCAGTGCACTCAGTATCAACCCACTTGACAAGGGCTTTTCTGTGCGTTTCAGGCAACGCATTTGCAGGGCTTGGGGCTTGTGCTTCAGATTATGGCATTCAAGTTTCTTCTGAGCAGAAGTTGATGACATGAAGCGAAGTCACAGCGCTGCAAGATGCTGAGTGACGGAATGACTCAGATCTTCCTGAAGCTTTCCTCATTTCAAGCGGTCATCCTCAATGCTAAGCTCGACACAGTCGTAACAGGCGAATGGGACACGCAGCGTTTCTGAACGCACTGGCGAAGACTCCTGCGATCTCCGTAGCCAGCCCGTGCTCTTCTCCCGAGGCCTTCGTTATTTTGATGCCCAAGACAAAACCAATCCACGTACAGCAAACTGATCGCAACTAGATCACATGAACAGTTGAGGTGATCTCCTTTGTTCTCCTGTGCGGCTTTCCACCCTTTGCAGGCCAGAGAAGTTCGTGATTTACAGCCGTGGTCACGGCTACAACTTGTGAAAAATTGTAGAGCATGTCCCAGCAAAGCGCTCTCTAGTCTTTGCTGTGACCAAGCGGAGGGTCGCAGCTGTTCGACCTGGATTGGGCAGAGTCTTCCAGGTGACAAAGACCCGGAGATCCTGAAGAAGGCCGGCTGACAATGAGACCCCTGTTTCTCTCGATGAACTTAGTCCAATAGCCTATAGTGTAGAATTCCTCCCATGCCGCAGAGGTCAAGACGGGAACCTTTGAGTTTCGCTCGCCTGAGTGGGATCCAATCTCTCAAGGCAAGCCCTGGTGATGTTGAGATTGAAGCGGCATGCGGCCAGGATAGCACTCGTAGTACTCGTAGCGCTTCGTCTCCACTGGCTCAAGGATTTTCGCTGTAATTAAGGGCCGCGACCCTTCAGTTGCTCAATGGCTGCAAAAGCTGAGATTCTTCATGGGAACTGCCAGAGGCGAGAGTGGGTTAAGATGCTGCAGGCATTGCAGCAGTTCTGGATTTCATCGTCCATCACGCTGCGCTCCTCCTTCGCATCTATTGATGCATGCGCTAAAGAGCACAGGTGGCAGAGAGCGGTTTCACTGGCAGACGAAGCCCGTCGCCAGAATCTGGAAACGAGAGTCATCCAGTACAACACCACGATGAATGCATGTGCCAAAGGCATCGCATGGAAGCAAGGTATTTCATTATTTGCAAATGCTGCAGAGAGGGGTCTCCAGCGGACTTCGATCACTTTCGGCACGAGTACATCGGCCTTTGCGAAGGGCGGTCAGTGGCAGTTGGCCTGTCACATGCTGCGATCGGTGTTTGGCAACAGCATTCTTGGGGGCCCAAACTGCTTCATGCAGAGTGCTGCGCAGACTGCATGTGCAAGTGAAGCACAGTGGCACGCAGCAGTGCTGCTGCTGGCTGAAGCGTGTTCTGAAGAGCTTGAACCCAGCATTGTCCTGTACAACTTGGCGGCTAGTGCATGTCAGAGCGGCAGGCAGTGGAATCTGGCCTGCGCGCTTGTGGGACGTCTGATGGGAAAGCATCATGCATGTGCGAATTCTTTCACTTATAGTGTCGCCATCAGCCTTTGTGAAGATGGACAGTGGCAACTTGCAGTAGCACTCCTTGCTGAAGCCGAGAGCCATGGAATCCGGATAGACATTGTCACTTGCAATGCAGCCATCAGCGCATGCGAGAAGAGCCAGCGATGGCAACATGCGATTTCGCTATTGTCCTATTCTCTGACCAGAAAGATGCAGGCCACCACGATTTCATGCAATGCTGCGATCAGTGCATGCGAGAAGGCCAAGGAATGGCAAGTTGCCCTCCAGCTCCTCCTGCAAGCATTGAAGGCATCACTGGAGCCTACCATCGTTTCCTACAATGCTACGATGAGTGCCTGCGAGAAGGGAGGGCAGTGGCAGCTTGCTTTGGAGCTGCTTCAGCAGGTAGCCTCTTGTAGGATGGAGCCTACCATTGTGTCCTACAACGCTGCCATCAGCGCCTGTGACAAAGGCGACCAGTGGCAGCTAGCAGCCTCATTGCTCGGGCAGTCTGAGGAGCAGACCCTGGAAGCCGACGTCATTTCTTTCAATGCGACGATCAGCGCTTGTGCAAAAGCAGGGCACTGGCAGGAGGCACTATCTCTCCTAGACGTCGCTGTTGGCCGGAGGCTCGGCACCACGATTGTCACTTTCAACTCTGCTTTGACGGCTCTGGAGAAAGGTGGTCAATGGCTTCTGGCATTGGGGCTCTTTGAGGGACTGGCGATGCTTCGGGCTTCAGCAGATGTGATCTCCTGCAATGCTTTGATCAGTGCCTGCACCAAAAGCGGGAGCTGGGAGAGGTCGCTGCAAATGACGAGCGACATGCAGGATCTTGCATTGAAGAGGACGCCCATCACTTACGGCGCAGCCATGAGCGCCTGCGTGAGGGCGGAGCACAAACGAGCACAAGTCCTATCAGGGTGAGGTCCTGACATCTTTTGTTTCGAATCTTCTCGGCGAAGACAGCCAGAATTCAATTATTGCACGCAGCCTTGAATCAAAAACGGTGCTGCCTTGGTTGACTGTGATCCTCATCTCAGGCGGAGGCATGCCTGGATGCAGCACACCTCCTGTCAGGGGCGAAGAACCTCATAACGCAGATGCTGACCTTTGATCCTTCCATCCGGCCAACCGCCGAGGCTGATGGCTCAGTGCGCAACACTGGTGATACTGCAGAAGGTCTGGAATGTTTGACAATGAGGTCGTGTTGCTCAGTCCGTGGCTCAAGTTCAAGGCCCTTCAAGCTTCATCTCTACCTTTGCGAAGCCTGTCGGTAGGACTCTCGGCATCGCAAGTTTGCCAACTGTCGCGCTTTGGCAGGGCACGCCGAAGCCGGCGCCTCTGAGCAAAGATTTTGTCACGAGGCCTTGCACGCATCCTCTTGGGCCAGTTCTGCTTCAGACATGTCCTTTGCAAAAGCGAAAAGACTCTCCTGTGGACTTACCGCTTGTTTCCTGCAGTAGGAGGGTGCAGGCAGCCGTCCGTGTGCCAGGCTGTCAGGGTTCCGTGCCTTCTCAAAGTTGAAGAAGGCGTGGAGGGCACGGAGAACCCAGCTGGGGCTATGCCGGTGTGTTGACACGAACGACGTCAGGTAGCATTTTGCTGATGGTTCCATGCCAGCAGTCCGTCGAACTCCTTAGACAGTGTGCCAGGTTGCACTGACGGCACTAGCGCAGCAGTTGCCAGATGCGGCTGATCTGAAAGTGGGGTTGTTGTCTCTAAACGTGGCCCATGGGGACTTCATAGAGCCTCAGCAACAGCTGGACCAAGGAGAAAATAGATGGGCTTCAGAAGACCTTTCGGTCATTGGACAAGCCCTGCTCTTACGGGAGCAGCTTTGCAAAGCAAGGGTGTGTGTGAATATGCGCGCGGCGCGAGCATGGCAGAAGATCTTGCTTTGAAGGAATGGTGATGGGACGCTGTCCGTGGAAGAGATCCGGGTTCCGAGCCTACGCCTGCTGCATGAAGTGCGTTCGAACACGGCCTGGAAATGGATGTACATTGCGAACGCTTCAGTAGAGGAAGCCGTCTTGAGGACCAATGTCACAGAACATAAGCATGGCAGTTGCTGTCAGCGACCACAATAGCACAATGACAGAAATTCTCTTACAAAAGCTCAAGCCCAAAGCGGTCGCCATGATCAGAATCATGTGCTGTGCAACTGGTCTGAGGAAGCCATCATGCAGCAGGGACTCAGTCCTCCAAAAGCCTTGGAGGACGTGAACAGATTATCCTTGTTTCTTTTTTATACTGTCTTCTTTCGATTATTGGAGGAAAATTATGTAGGAGTTCTCGCTGTGCTATAGTAAGCAGTTTAGGGTTTAGGACTTTGAGTAATTCGGCATTTCACGAAACAAGCGAGGCTTTGGCATCATTGGTAGCTATGACTCATGACTCTAGGCCTTGGGCTGGTCTCCTCGATGGGCTCAAAAAAGCAAATCAGCAGACAAAGGTTGCGCCTAAGCCTAAACACGTGGACGCCGAGAAATCAGCAGAAAAGGAGGGACTAAAGATCATGCCGGTACGTTGGCGAAGCTGAATATATTATACTCAAGACTGCCGGCCATCCATGGGGGCGCTTGTTCAAGTCGCCCTTGCCACGGTGAATGCGCAGGATGCTCAAATGTGGGTACTTGAAGACTGACGCCACATCAAGTTTTGAAGGCTGAAAGGTTTTCAGAGAAGTGGGGCCCGAGGAGGTTCACCTTCTTCGTTTGACACCAGTGGCTTTGGCTCCCGGATCGGTGGTGCAGTTGGCGGTACTCAAGGCATGTTGCGCAGCACGGCGGCAGGGAGGTTGAAGATCGAGGCAGATGTTGTTTGGAATTTCCACAAGAATCCGGCCGCAAGGATTGACCGAGTACAAGACCTATGCCGTTGGTTAGATTACTTTTTGCGTCCCTCAGTTTGAGACAGGCAATTGGTGCTTGGGCTGGCAGAGATGCAGCTGCACCACATGCGCAGCATTTCCAGGTATGTAGAACTTTGCAGCCTTTTTGTAGCTTTGGTGCCGAAAAACCATGCACCATGGCACATGACGAATACGTTCATATGGCAGCTGGTTGTCCCTTTCGCTCTGCCTTCACCTCCCTCCTGCAAGGCGGGGTTGTGCGGTTCGCATTCAGTCGCCGGTGGGCCGACCATTGGTGCGCCTTGGCCTCCCTGAAGGCGGAGTGGGGCCCTACAATGAGCTGGCTAAATACTCTGGCACTGGCCACCCAGGTTGCTCCAAGGTGCTCTCGAAGCATGGGTTGGGAGGATCGTGAGGAGACTGTTCAGGTCCCTTTCCGTGCTCAGGGGCGGATGCTGCCTCGGCGATTGTGTACGATAAATACACAGTGAGAGATCAAGCTCTTCCTGCGCTCAAGAAGCTGACCGCGAAGACGGTGATCCGGGTCATTGGTCAAGGCTTTCCTTGTGCTGCAGAAGTCAGGAGGCACGTGTGAAGTGTTCACCTGGGGCTGGTTGCCGCATCCGCAGCAACGATGGGACTGCGGTGGCTTCTCTGACGCACTCGTCGGTTTTCTATGCGCCCACCTCTTCCATTCGACGGCATGCACGGTGGCAGGCCAGGCAACCGTCGGAGGAGGACGCCGATTACTTGAAGCGTCGCCCCCAAGCAGAAAAGCTCTTTAGGGCTCGCAGTTGGGAGCAGGCAGCTTGCAGTCCGCGTGACGGTGGAGGCCGCCAACGCGGTACGTGCTGACCGGTATGGCGCATATTGAAGTCACCTCCACAATCGTCCGTCGGGGTCGTGCCACATGGATGCTCCGTGGGGCCTTGGCCGAGGAGTTCATGTTGGTGCGAGTCAAGGAGGAAGCCAGAGCAGCCAATACTGGATCACGCCAGCAGCTGCTTCTCAGAAGCGCGGCCCCTCTACACGGACTCCACTGCTCACGGCCTGGCCGTGGAGACGCCTCCGTCAGCGACGGCAGTCACGGTTCTCAAGCGGGGAAGGAGCATGGCAACAGCCTTGTGGGCAGTCTCGGGCAAGGCATCCAAAAGGCAGGCTCGAAGGGCCCGCCAGCGTAAACAAAACACGGAGATGGACCGCAGATGTCCGCAGGCAGTGTGTAGAACAGACCGGACTTCATCCGCCAGAACACGGTGGACGTTGAAATCCTTCGGATGGCAGCACCCGGTTCTGCCAAAGCGAATGGTGGCCCGAGGCCCAACCCAAAGCCACTCAAAAAGCCAAGTCGTTGAAAGCCCTTATCTAAAACTAAAACCAATGTTTCAAGGCAGCTTGCGCAGAAAAGACACCGGTGTGGGATCAGACCACAGGCAGGCTCGGTCACAGGCTCGCATTCCGAAGAAGGATCCCGGGAGACCGCGAGAGGTAAGAACGTAAAGATCAAGGCTCGCTTCACGCCTTGGCGTAAACGCCACTCGTTGAAAGAGGCGCGCGGCAATTCATGCGCCTGAGAAACCGCAAGTGCTGGACCCTTGGCGATGAAATCCCGGATCTGGGCAATGTGTTTTCGCCGCTTCTTCGGCATGGTGCCGTTCGGCACGCAAGTCTGGCCGCTGATAGCGTGAGAAACTGCCGATGGGAGATGGCAAACCGTGCAGCCGGATCACAAACTGACCCCGAGAGGCTGAGGAACCGGCCAGGCCAGCACATCAAAGTCCTCGGCATGATCTTGAGCGAGGTCGTGTTGCAACCGGCGGATTAGCGCATCGCGAAAGCTCCCGCCTGCCGCTGGCCCGACGATGCACTGGTAGACTGCGAGCTTCTTCATGGACGTAGCGATGTTGCGGCAGGTTTACCAAATTCACACCTTTTCGTGCGACGATCCCCGCCGCCCACTCGCGAAGAGGGGATGCAAACAATCTCAACATCACGCGGGCCTGCGGACTGGGACGTGCTCGTGAGCATGCGGACACTTGGCCTTTGATGGGCGGTCGTTCGCGAACGCTGCAGTGCCAGTGGGCATCTAAACGGCCAACTTCGGTACGGTGCAGGTTGACGTCGAGTACATGTCATCACGGTGACGAGCCCTGATATCGTGAAGATGATCTCTCTTCGGTGGCACCTATACCCAATTTGCTCCGGCGTTTTTGCCGTTGAAGATGACCGAGACTCATGTGGCCGTGTCATTCAGGCGGCGTCGGCGCCAAGTGGATCTTGGAATTGCGCGAGAACGGGGACGAAACACTTTTCCTGTTGCACTTCTCAGTGTTCGATGAGAGGGTGGGTCTTCCGCTCAAATGTCGAGATGTAATGTCACTTCTCTGAACCGTTTAAACAAAACGCACCTGTTCGTCTTCTTTGCTGTCCATAAACACCTGTGCAATCCGGAGATCGATTAGGGAACAATCTTCTCGAGTTGCGCGGAATGGTGTCATACCCCACTAACTTGGCAAGAACTTCGCAGGGTGAGAAAAAACCTCATGTTGTGGACTGGCACAGTTCGAAAGAGAGTTTTTCAGGAGTATTGGGTTGGTGTGCCATTCTTAGCAATGATGGCCTGTTGTTTTTTTGCCTCATGCCCGTGCAGACCCAGAGATCATCAACAGCAGGGGTCTCCGACCCATTGACTTTGCCGCATTTGTGCAAATTCGATCGGTTCTTCAAGATCCTACTCTACATTTTTCCGTCCTAGAGCACGAAACCGCAGTTTTCACTCAAAGCTGTTGATTGAGCTGCTGGATCGTCTGGACGGTTTCACCATGTTTCGCCATCCTTCACCACCTCAGATCTCTCCATTGGCTAGCTAACGCCCAGCAGGGGTGTAATGAACCAGAGCAGGATGCCCCGCACTGCCTGTCCCAAACTGGTGGGAGGCAAGTCTGCCCATTGCTGCCATCGTCAGGACATCCTACAAGCGATTGACTGCAATGGTGAGCTGCCAAGTTAGCCGCCTTTGTGGCGGTCTGTCAGGCAACTACTCAATAGCGGCTCAGGCTCTGGTAGTTTGGACTACACGGAGTTCCTTGCGGCTACTCTGGACCAGAAGGTCTACATGCAGCGGGACCTCCTCCGATGCCGTGCTGGTCAAGATTCAAAAACATGACGTAAAGCTCCCCGTGCTGACAGGATGTTTGTTGGGCAGCCTTTCGAATCTTTGACCTGGATGGCGACGGGAAGATTACAAGAGAGGACTGCTGCATGCCTTCGACAGCAGCCGGAAGCGCGCAGTCTTCGTGCTGCCGTGCGTGCATTCTCTGCACTCGTGCTGTTGCAGGAGCTCGGCAAGGCACCCACCTCTTTTCGAGAGACGATCACGCACAATGGTACGTGCAACGAATCCCGGTCCTGCTTATGGCCTTGTGAGAAGCAGGTGCTGAACGGCAATTCCGTGCAGGAGCTTTTTGGCGCGAGCCTACGGCTCAAAGGGTAAATTTCGGGATCGCATAGCCAGCTAACTTTGGTCGCAACTTGAAGCTGATTCGGTTCTTTCACGGCAGGGAAAATTGAGAAAATGATCGAAGAGGTGGACAAGGCAGGGTCGCTTTTTTCAGTCAGCAGAGGAGCTCACAGCCTGCTGCACAGGATGGCGATGGAGCCGTGGACTTCGAGGCAGATCCACACAAAGCCAGAGGGTGTGCCTCCTCGAACTTTGTTATCTTTTTGCTTCGCAGGAGTTCTGCGCAATGATGTCGACCAAGGCCGGTTGCATCATGTTGGTTGTGGGTTGGCTGCGGGACAACACATCTGTACTGCAGCTTTCGCTTGCCACCACACCAGCTGTGAACGATCTCCTGAAGGCCTCACGTCCGCAATCTGCAGCAGAAGCGCCGGCTAAGCGGCAGCGTGTCTCTGCCTAGTGCCGTGAGGTCTCTCGTTGCCAGTTTCGGCAAGCCAGACCAGCATCCATCAAACAAGTCTTCGTTCAGTCTGCAGTGCAGGAGGCAGACCCCAGGAGAGGTTCAGTTTTACTCACCTAACTCTGCTCCAGAAGTTTGTTTTGGACCAGCATCGTCTTGGTGGAAAGATGCGGTGCTGGTATGGTGAACCCCCCCGAAGGGCAAACTGTGGGTCATGGCTGATGTCTAGCTGGGGGCGAAGCGGAGCAGAGGTAAGATCTGCTGGCCAGTGCTCATGAATGGTCACTGCAGCTGATGCAGATTCAGCTTGCAGTATATTTAGGCAGGATTCATTATATCAGAGCTTCGTGCGATCGAACCTGGCTGTTCCGCATGTTAGTCAAAAGGACGAGCAATTGCAGTGGAGCGCGCCACTCGTTTCAAAAAAGGGCGAATGGTCAAAGGCATGCTCAGCTGCCTCAGCACCCTTCGAGTTGGCCCGACCTGAGTCTTTTGCAGCACGATCTTGATCAGGTAGCAGTTTGTATCGCCTTGTACCGCCGAAGTTGCGGACAGGTAATACGTACATACATACCTACATACCTACGTACATACATACCTACCTATGTACATACATACATACATACAAACCTACATACATACATACATACATACATACATACATACATACATATATATGTATATGTATATGTATATGTATATGCATATGTATATGTATATACATGTGTATGTAGATGTATACCTATATGTATATATGTTTTTGTATGTGCACATGTATATGTATATGTTTATGGATATGTATATGTATATTTATATGTATATGTATATGTATATGTATATGTATATGTATTTGTATATGTATATGTTTATGTATATGCATGCATGGATGGATGGATGTATGTAAGTATGTATATATATATATAATAAACATAAACATATATATATATATATTTACATGTCATTAGTTGATACGTTGTTGTAAGTACAGTATAGCATAGTATATGCAGCATGTTCTGTTACTACATACCGTATTATATGTACTACGCCACACTATAATAGATTATACTACGCTATATCACATTGCATCACATTAAACTACGTAAATTGCTTGTGGAATGTCTTGGTGTGGCTTTCTGCTTGCACCTATCTGGTGTTCTTTGCTCGCAGCGCTTGATCTTGGCTCTCCGGGATGTCACGGTCTTGCTGTGAAGCTGCCCAAGATGTCAGGCGGAGGAGCTTGGGCTTACTTAACTTGATTAAGTGCAGGAAGCATGGGGAGAAGGATAGATGAGGCCTCGCGGAGGTTCGGAGCACGAAGAGGAAGATTTGAGTGATCTGCTCGCCAATGGCCAAGACCAGCAAACAAAGCATGATCTCTTGATGCATGTACTGTGAAGAGGAGCCGCTTGATCGCGGAGCGGCTGCAGGTGCGTCTTCTGACTGTACGGGCTCGGTTCAAGGGGAAGGAGCCGGTACTGCTGAATCTCTAAAAACTAGTCGAATCCGAAACCCTACCGAGATCTCGGTTGTTCTGTGGCATACTGCAATCCCAGCACGGCCGATAAGTTGCACATCTACTTAACCGAAGGCTTTACGCGATCCTGAGAGTCGTTTACCTCATGAAGTTCATGAGGTTTTCTGCTGCTCACATTGTATCGCTTGGGTCTAAGCGGACAGCCTAATGCAGTGTTGCAGTCTTAAACCAGTCGTGATAAGTGTCCGGAGTACGAATGCCGAATGGTCCTTCTTGAGGAAGCCTTGTACTCACAAAAAATGCGGCGCTGCGCATAGCTTCGGGAGCATTCCTTTTTGAAGTTTACTGGGTTGCCTGACGGAAGACGCACTCCTTGCTTCGCGTGAGATTGAAGATAGACATCCGGTTTGACTCTACGCTACGTAGAGTGTCGGCGAAGACACTGTCACTCAGACTGACCGTGCTACTTCCGTAGTTGCTGTTTTAGCCGTCTGCATGAGTGGTTTTGTCGGGTCTTTGGTTCATTTCTATTACCGGCATGTTCGAGTGGCGCGATAAATGTGATCATGGTTGTCAATATTGTTCGTACTAGTGGTACTAGTGGTGTGTGACGGGTGTGGCAGCGACTGCAGCAACAGCGATGCATGGACACAGCGGCAGCAGCTTGCTAATCACAAAACCTCAGATGTTACCAAACCTACGGCCTCCTGAGCGCAGAGAAATGTAGTGCCTTTGCCATAGCGAGGTGTCTTTTGCCACGATCAAATCGGAGCCAGGTGGCCGGAACGAATGGCAGATGAAGACGGAGATGCAGTCGCTCGCTTGACGAACCTAGTTTTCAGGAGAACAGCGTAAGTTAGGAGGATTTTTTGTTTGAGGTAGCTGATCTGCTCGACGAAGCCCTGGAAAGTGCCAAGAAGGAAGCGCTGCCAGTCGCATCCTCGGAGGGTCGCAACAGTGGCACAAGGCGCCGCTGACCTGACTGTTCGGTCCGTGTCATGTGGAATCAGGCAGCGCCCAGTGTTGTCGGAATCTTAAGGAGCCAAAGAAGGACAAGAAGCAGGATAAGAAGAAGGAGAAGGCAAAAGAGAAAGAAAAAGCTCCTGGGCATCACAGTTGCGAGCTCGCCCGTCCCGGAAGAGTCTTTTATGCAAGAACTGGTGCGCTGAGGAAAAGAAAGACAAGGAGAAAGACACAGACTCGAACGTGGTAGCTGTCCCTCCGGTTGTCGACGACCAAGTGATATATGAAAGGAAAACACCCCACCTTTGAGGACAGAAGTCGTAGCAGAAGTCGCGACCGAAGTCGAAGTCCGTTCCCAAGCTCTTTGTCGTTGCGCTAGAGCTAGAGGCGAAGTGCAAATATCTTTGTGTGGAGGCCGTGACCGTGACAGAGGACGTGCAAGCCGTGCCGCACTCAGACATGCGAGCAAGGAAGCGCAACGGGGATAGCACTTTCAAGTGTGGTTCATTGCCCGGTACCTGCACATGCCAAACCGCGAGTTGAGCTAGGCAGCCGAGACCGTGACCGGAAGGCGGGGATTGTTTTCTTAGGGCCCACAGGTTGAGCAACCGCCCTTCAGCTAATGTCAGGGTCTACAGGGTGTCTTCTGCGGAGCGGCATTGACAGGATCGGTCTCGGGATCGCAGAGATCGGTCGCGTGATCGGTCACGTGATCGGTCCCGCGACAGAAGAGACAAGGACATAGTTCGTCGGGCATGAGGCATGTTTGCATGTGGATGCTGAAGCTCGCTGGAGTTTGTGTGCAGCAAGCGGGCCAGCGCTTGCTACTAGGTAAGATCAATTGCCACACGAAGCGGCTGTCATGTGCAGAAGATAGGACGCCGACAGCCAAAGACTGGCATCGAGTAGGAATCATACAACATTTCGAAACAGACTCGCAAGGAAGGGGGAAGTGACGATTGGATGAATGCATCAAAGTGCACTAGCGGAAAGCAATGCTGTTGTAGGCAAGCAGATACATCGCTAGATAGCCGGGTAGCCAGATAAGAAAATGGGTATATGTCTGTACACATGTGTATGCAGTACAGAGATAGATAGATAGATAGATAGATCAGATAGATAGATAGATAGATAGATAGACACATAGATAGGTAGATAGATAGATAGATAGATAGATAGATAGCAAGATAGATAGCAAGATAGATAGATAGATAGATAGATAGATAGATAGATAATCCGTAGTGCACGTCTGTATCTAAATCTACAGCTATATCTGTAGTTTTATCTACATTCTACATCTGTATCTATATCTATACCTATACGTATATAGTATCTGCATCTGTATTCATATCTTCTTATGCATCTACATCTATATCTATGTCTGTACCTACGCCTGTTTCTGTATCTATCTGTGTATCATCTTTGTCTTGTCTTATATTTGTATATGTATGTATGTGCATATGTCCATGTCTAAGTCTTTGTATGCATGTGTATGCGCATTTGTAAGCGTGTATATGTCTATGTATATGTATATGCATATAGGCATATGCATATGTGTATGTATGTATGTATGTATGTATGTATGTATGTATGTATGTATGTATGTATGTATGTTTAATATATGCATAGATTTATTTGTATAAGTCTGTGTCTATACATACACGTAGGATTATGTGCATGCACGTATGCATTTGTGTGCCTTCATGCATGTAGGTAGGCAGGTAGCTAGGTAGGTATGCAGGGATGTAGGTATGTAACGCAGGTATGTAGGTATGTAAGCAGGTATGTATGTTGCATGCATGAACGTACACATGTGCATATGTACATACGTACATGTAACTTTGCATGTGAGCGTGGTTGTATGAACGGAAGCCTGGATGTGTGTATCCATGCATTCATGACACATGCACATCCACACAGATAGGAGTGCTTACATGGAGCACACACATGTGCGTGCGCACATAATTTCGTACCAAGGAACATGTTAACATGATGAATGTGTCTAAAACGCCGACACATACAGAGAGTCTCCTCAGTCAGTCGAACTGACAAGCAACTCAGTCAGTCTGTCAGTCAGGCAGCAAGGCACATCGTGCTTCAAGTGAATGACTAGCTAGACTAGATGAGCTATCTCTGTGAACCTGTCCCTGTAAACTTGTATGCCAGTGACGAAAACACAAGTGCCTGACAAACAGAACAAAGTGAATGCATCGTCAGAAGTACATGAATAAGATACCGGACTGCAAGCCAGACAGTACTGCAGGCGGTAGGTGACAAAAGTAGGCAGCGTAGACAAGCCACCAGGCAAGCAAAGAGGACAGTGTGTAATGCAATCTCTGAATGATAAAGCTTGTCTGTGTACGGAGGTACATAGCCAGATGGGGCAAACAGACTGACAGAGTTTGCCAGGACCGCGGCCGAAGACGGAGCCGAAGCAGAAGCCGAAGCCGAAAGCGCAGTCCTCTGCCAACTCTTGTGATTCCTTTCGGTGCAAAACGCCAAAAGCTCCCGGAGAGGCGTCGCAGTCGCAGTCGAAGGCGGAGGCTGGGGGTTTCAGAGTGGC